AGCAAAAAAAAACCAAAGAACTGATTAAATTGATCCCAGACTTTGTGTTTAGAAGCTGCAACTTCCTTTTAGCTATCTAATTGTGAAGCAATGTTAAATGAGATTAGCTGAGATAAAAATCACAATTTATAAACTGTAACCTGCTATATGACAATTATAGTGGGTGAGGAAAATTAAAACATAATTTATAATTCTCATGGTTGTATGTTTATCTAGCCCTTTATTAAATCAGACAGCAATTAAATTTATTGACAGGCTTGGTTCATATTTATGGAAATTTATTTCAAGCATTCTTATGCTTGCTGTTGCATTATGCCAAGTAACTTCACTGAGCTTCAATGTTTAAGCTTATTAATATAGGTTTTGGCTATATCTAAGAACAGTAGCACTTTCAAAAGGTGAGAGACTTAGAGACCTAAAAATTAAGAAAATGTCAATGTTAGTGTCCACCCATTATAGTTTCTGTAGTGATTCTAGGATTGGCAAGTGATTGTACAGAGCACAAATTCTATTTTTTATTTATGAACAGTGTATTAACAGCAGCCCATGTGATCATCTAGTATAGCCTCCCATTTGATGCAGAAATCTCTGAAGAACAATTTTTGTCAGGCAGGTTGCTAGATTCCATATCTCTTACTGACAAAAAGTTCTTTGAATATTGTCCCCAACTGCTTTGAAATTTCATCTTTTGGTCTTGATTCAGCTGTCTGATGGGACATAGAAGCCTGCTCATGTATCTTTCCAAGATTTTCTAATATGTCATTATTCAGAGGTTGCCATGGTGGATAATTCATCACAATCATACAGGGAACTTATTTGCAGATGCAAATTTCAAAGCCTTTCCCTGCCGCCCACCCCTGGATTATAATTCATAGGTCTTAAATGGGCCCCGGGTGGTTCCCATGGGAACTAAGGAATATAAGAACTGATGATCTGGAGAGAGTTTTACCAGATGGCAAAGAGAGTACATTGTCTAATAGTTGTAAATGGATTTGATTTGACCAAAATAGCTTAATTCTTGACTAACATTAGGAACCCTAATTAAAATATAACTTTTTATTCTAAAAATTTGAACCACTTTGTTTTTATAACCACACTTTTGGGAAGATCTGAGAAACTAGAAAAAAATGGGTTAACATTCTAAAGATTGATGACTGCCAAGTATAACACCAGAGCAAAGAATAGTTTGCACTTAACCTGAAGTGCTAAAGGGCAAAATTAAAAACTTATCTGCAATAAGCCAGTCATAAGTAATTTTGATGCATAAATTAAATCTGTCTTAGACTAAGATTAAAAAGATGTGGGCATGTACACAACTCATTTGTAGTTAAGGAAATACAAATAAACACTTCAATGAAATGCTATTACACACCCACCAAACTGACGATAAAACAATAGAAGAAACTCTCATCCAATACTAGTGGAAGTGAATATTTGTTCAACCAATTTGAAAAACAGTTGGCCATATCTACTAATTTGAACATACACTTTACAACCTAGCATTTCCATTCTTAATATATACCCAAGAGAAAAGCATGCATATGTGCACCAAAAACATATATATAATATGCACAAAAATCTTTTAGAAATAGCCACGACTGAAAAAAAAAATCTAAATGTCCATCGCAAGAAGAGTGGATAAACTGGGTTTCATTCATATAATAAGATGCACACATATATGTACACACGCAAAGAAAACATTACAGCTATAGCAACAATATATAGGTGAATTTCACAAAAATTGATAGAAAAAAGCCAGATATGAAAAAATTATGCTTCATTTTTTTATCTATACAAGGTTCTAAAGGTAGAATTAATCTATGATTTTGGAAGTAAAGAAGGAGTTATCTCTGGGGAGAAGTGAAGGATAGTGATGAAGAGAGCATTAGGGAACATCTGAGGTTCTGGTAAGCTTTCCTTGACCTGAATGTTGGTTTACACTGATGTATATACCTGATAATAATTTACTGAACTGTGTTCTTGTGATTTTTAAACTTTTCTGCATATATTATACATCAATGGAAAATGTTTTTTTTTTAACCTAAAGGCGTATAAGCTACATTAGAATGTTTTAGAAATTCTAGTTAATTTTTCCAACTAGGCTAAACAGTTTTTCTCTTTATAGGTACAACTTTTAAAAAAAGAATTTATGGTCCACTTTTTATGTTTTAAAGGAAATTCTCCACTCCTAAATGCTTCCAATATTTTTTTCCTAGCATGTCAGATGTACATTATTCAATCCAGTTGATTGGCCTCATGGCATAAAAATGGAATCCAAAGACTGTAAAAGCAATGTTTGCTTACAATAAAATTGTGAAATAAGCAGATATTAGAATTTACACTTTAATAAATAATTCTAAATTGCATGCTGTTAAGCCTTGCCACTTTTTCCCCCTAGAAAGTCAGAAATCATTTTAGGCTCTGAAGTCTTTCTCTCTAGATAGTCAAATGAAGACATTTCATTTTTCTCCAGTTTACATTCTGCACATTATGCTGAGTTGAAGTTCAGGGGCAAAGAGTTGCTCACTACACTCCAGCCCTGGCAGAGATGCTTCTCATCGCCTTTCTATGAAAATCTTCTATCTCCTTTTATTTGGCATAAGATTTGAAGCATGTGAAGCTGCTGAGTTATGTATTTTTCTGGCTTTTATTCTACACCTCTATTAGGATTCTAGGGCCTAGTCTTTGACTGCGTACATAATATTGTTGTCCCTGTCCCTTGACCACCTCCCTTCCTCCCTCATTTCTTTCTTTCTTTCTGTCTTAAATTCTTCCCTATTTACTCATTTCCAACTCCAAGATTCCTGAACACAGGAGAAAGCAGATCTTATTTAATAAGGGACGTTAGCCTCTGACATTTAAACTACCACACAAGCACTGGGTACTTGTAAATTATAAAGCAAAATAATCCCTTCAAGTGTTCTACATTATTTCAATCATTATCATGATGCAAGTCCAGGAGAGTTCAAAGGATTTGATGGTGCCATTTCTAAATTGGGTGATTCAAGCAAAGTCCATGTTCTCTGTAATTATCTCAATATCGTGACTGCAATGCTCAATAAGTCATAGGAATGCCACCTTCATTTCTCTCTCATTCTCTTCACAGCATTAATCCACTTTAAATTGCAAACATCTATGTAAACTTGTATAAACACATGCTGTATTTTCATCAGCGTCACCTCTCTATATACTCTCAAATAATTGCTAAACACTCATATTTAAATTCTAAGTATCAATTCAGCTATTTATCTAATAAAAGGAATACTTCATTAGCAGTTTCCAGCCCAGCAGAAATTGATACACTAATTTAACAAAATATGAAGAAGAATGGCATATGAGAAGGCTTCTTCAGTATGCAATTGTTCACTTTGGTTCTAAATGTTCTGCTCCTGACCTAATAAGCTCTGACAGAAACAGAAAAGCTTCGTAGTCACTAGAGAAACACTTTTTTAAAATCCCACAGCACTGAAAATTAATTATCCCACAGAAGTTACCACTCTAAGCATTAAAAAGCTTTAAATCCATTATAAAAGTAGTCTTTATGAAATATAGGTACATGCCTTCTTAAATAAAATGCATCAATATTTTATTAATTATTCATTTTTCAC